AGTGCATTTCATTTAATCGGTAATTAAAGTCTTTATCTTTGCCTTGAAAAGCTTAACACGGATCGAGCCTGCGGCACTTCCGTTTCCGTTCCACCCCACCCCCTAAGTCGCGGCTTGCAGACACGATCGATCTAACGTCTGCCGGGCCGTCGCCTCGTTTTTCCACCCCCTCTCTCTCTCTCTCTCTTTTTCTCTTTCTCTCTCTTTCTTTCTTTTTCTCGTTGCAACAGTCTGCAGCATCCAGCAGGAACTGATACTCTTCTCTCTTTTTTTCTCTCTTCCTCTCTCTCTTTCTCGGAATCGTATTCGTGCTTGCCTGCTCGACTGTCTCATATCTTTTCATAGAAAACTACGAGAACTCGTATATATCGATTCCTCGAATGTCATCGCTCCGAACGAATAACGTTAATGAAAACCTACGTTATCTACCTACCCACATATATACATATATATATATATATATATATATATATATATATATATATATATATATAGGGATAAATGGATGCATGTAGAAAAGGGTCGACTGTCATCTACAATCGATTTCGGATACTCTCCGACACTGACAATGAAAATAATCTTTCCCAACTTTACTCTCAAATGTGTTTACTCTCTCTCTCTTTTTCTCTCTTTTCTTTATAATTACATAAATAAAATCCTCCTTCAAATTCCGTCTGTCAAATGACACTTGCTACTTGACAATTCGATTGATTAAAGAAAATTTATTTTTAAATAAAATTAAAATCATAGAACTATCGTTATTTCTCAATCACCCTGTAGATAGTGGAAACACGCATTGCCGTGGCGCTTTGAAGGGCGATGCACCGCCGGCTGCCATTCCCTTCTTCTCTCGAGGGATGAGAAAGGGAAGGAAAGGGAAGGGAAGGGAATCGTCCCCACCATCGTTCCCCACCTCCTTCCCACCTTAACAGTGACGGACGCGACCCTCGTCGGACCCCCGGTCGACGAGGGTTGGGGCGGTCGATGCAGTGTTTCCATAGAAACCAGACGCGCCGCGCCGCCACCCTTTCCTACACACAGTGCATTCAACCGGGCTGCTCTCTCTGCCATCTCTCCCTTTCCCTTCTCTTCCCTTCCTTTCCACTCTCCTCTTTTTTCAACCCTCCCAATTCTACCCTATGAAATTCTTACCATTTTCCTGCCGTCTCTTACAACAGTTACACTTTATTTTAACTTGGATGATTCAAAATTAATACCATTTTATTAACCCATTAAATCTGCCAAATTATTTTTTGTTTCAGAAATATTTTTTTGAAAAATCTTACATGGGGATTGTGGGTGGTTGCACGAAAAAAACTAATAAGAGACTATTACTTATTTCTTGTATTGTTATCCTATACATACAGTTCACATAAAACCGTTTATGTACGTAAAATTCCAAAATCCTCAAATGGGAATCGTGGCAGTTAATGGGTTAAGTTTATAATTATCATATTTTTTGTAGAATTCAAAGTTAAAACATTTCTTAAACCTATCTGATTCAACGTTTCTTCCTTTAAAATCCTTTCTTCCAATAACTTGCCATATAAGAACTTATCACAAAATCTCCAGGTTCTACAACGTCCCTTCCTTTATCCATTAAAAATGATATCATCATCATCATCATCATCATCCCTTAATACCATTTTCGCAGAGATTCTCCATCGATTCATGCTAAACGTGTCATCAAAGAAAATAACCTATAGTTAAATTGATCCAAACTCGTCGTCAATTGGACAGAAGATAATAGACCACGCGTAGTGCAGTTTGTTGTAGAAAACCTTGGAAAAATGGGGGCTAATTTTTTTCTATAGCAAATCGTCGATCTTGAAGGAAAATGGTAGATCTTCTTTCTTCGATTCGATAAAATAGATAGATGCACTTACATGCACACACACACACACACACATACACACGTACATGCACACGGTTAGGCTCTCCGCGAGTACTGGTTTTACAAAGGTTGACCCGACAAGGGCTGGCAAGATTTATGGCTCGCCCTTGAGAGTGTTCTCTCCTCCTGTAGAGAGAGAAGAGATCCGATCGCCTAGACAGCCGGTAAAATTAATGCCGTTGGCGCGTACTCGGACGCCCGGTGTACTTTAATAAAAGGATACTTTCCTACCTTTATATATATATATATATACTACACACATCAGCATCTTCTTTCTTTCTTCTGAGTCTTCTTCTCCTTTACCTCCTTCGGAAGCACCAAGAAGAAAAAAGAAAATAGGAAGAAGAGTAGACGTGGGATCCTAACTTACGAGATTCTCATCCTCTCCTTCTCTTTCCATTTCCCTTTCCCTTCAACTAACCAAAGTCAATGACTTCGATATTCCATTACTGGTTTGCTGCTGGTTGCTGTTATTGTTGCTGTTGCAGTTGCTGTTACTGCTCTCTCTCTCTCTCTCTCTCTCTCTCTCTCTCTCTTTCTCTCTCTCTCTGTATCAGACCAAGTGATTTTGCGATTCTAATAAAGTTTCGAGAGATTGAAATTCTTTCCCAACTTTCTATATGAATGTTTATTACTTTAACATCTTTATCTAAATCTTGAAACATTTGACAGAAAAATATCTAATTTGAATTCTAGCAATATCAAAGTTTTAACTTTGATTCGAATAAATTGTTCATTAATCCTTTGCACTAGAAATTATATTTTTCATTTGACATATTATCAACAATTTATAAAGCAATTTTAATAGAAAAACAAAAAAAAAATCATATTCACGTATTATAAATAAATGACGTGAATGTGTAATTAAAAGAAAAATCATAATTGTAATATGTTGTAAACTGAATTGAATTTGTTTCAGTTTTTATTTTTGTTTTATTGTCTCCGTAGCTGAGCCCTCTCGACTTCAAAGAGTTAAATTTATTTGTTAAATTAGAATCAAAATGAAACTAAAATTATCAAATTGGATTGTAAATAAAAAAAAAAAAAACAAAAAAAAAAAAAAAAAAAAAAAGAGAGAACAGAAGAGTCGACTTTCTCACGACTTTCGGAGCAGCTTCGAGACCTTTCTCGTCCAAGGTCGTAGATCGTGGCGGATGAACTAGTACTATAGATGTTCTCTCTCTCTCTCTCTCTCTCTCTCTCTATTTCTCTCTCCTTCGTACTCCCCACTTTTCTACCAGTCTGCCGGCACTGGCCGACGAGGAAGAGAAGGGATGGGGAAAGAGAGAGGGAATGAAAGAGAGAAAGAGAGAGAGAGAGAGAAAGAGAATCGAGCCACTCCAGGGCCATACGGATGAAGGGTAGGCAAAGAGAGAGGAAAGGAAGGAAGGGAGGCAAGCAGCACAGCGTGACCCCTGAACGACGTTCATCGATCGAGGGGTGCACGCACCCTGCTACCAACACTCACACACATGCACACGCAAACTAATGTTACCCTTCTTCGATGGTAGCAGTTGTTCATCGTTCCATCATTGATTTCGTACGAGTTTCAAACTAAACGATTACTATTATTCAATTGACAATAATTTTATAACTATTCTAATAAAATAAATGTGTTTAGAAAATATTCGACATTTTTCTACACAGATATAATTGATATTAAAGATAATAAATAATAGTTTATAAACTTAGCTAGGATGATGATGATGATGATGATGATGAGTCAACGACGTACCGACGTATAGAACTACTATAAGTATGAGAATCTCGATTTCAATATGCTAAGCATGATTTCCTTGCCTCTATGTATAAAAGAGAGATAGATAGAGAATAAGAAGAAGAAGAAGAAGAAGAAGAAGAAGAAGAAGAAGAAAGAGAAAGAGAATTATTTCCCTCAGGAGCATTCACCTTTTATCTCGGTACACGATCGAAATTCCTGCACGAATGTACCAAGAAAGGGAAAGAGTAGTAGTAGATGGTGGAACATGTAACATAGAAGAAAATCATTTCTTTGGTCCCTGATTAGGAACATTTCCTCGAGAGTTTTCATCAAGAAAAGAAGACTTTGTTCTTTGTGTTTCTTCTTCTTCACTTAAAACTCTTTTCTAAACGATTGTCCATCTTCTTTTTTGTTCTCTTTAGTATTTCCAACTCTAATGGAAAAAAATATGAACCCGTTGCTCGTGTAAGTCTGTAAATTCGTTCAGCCGAGTGGGAGAAGTACGATAACCTTCGTATTGGTGACCTTGGACTCCGAAGGATACCAACGTGCCTCTTTCTCTCTCTTTTTCTACGAGCACTCAGGTGAAACATACCCGTCTGCCCGCAGCCCAAGTGATTTAATTAAAGAGACGAGCTTTGCCTCTTACTCGTTATAAGTATAAAGACAGAGAAAGAACTCGAGAGAGAGAGAGAGAGAGAGAGAGAGAGAGAGAGAGAGAGAGAGAGTGAGAGTGAGAAACAACGAGGTGATGGAATTTGCTATAGGAAAGTATTGTACACACCACGAGGAAGGTGATATGGTATCCTACTCGCGTGGGAATAGTCTCGCGAAGAGAAGTCAAGGATCGGTAGACGAGAAACAATGCCATTCTCTCGTCCTCTCTTATATTTTATTATTTCTTTCAATTTATTTTGATAATCTTTATATATAAACTTTTCTTTTTCTTCTTCTTCTTTTCTTTGCCGCATTTGTCCATCTCTCTCTCTCTCACTTCCAACCTCTTGCGTTTGCTTTATACCGCCGTGGGCGACGCGTCAACGAATAGAGCAAAGAGACATGTACGCGTAAATACGCGTGTACGTACGAATACACACATAGAAATATGTACATATGGGTGGTCCTCGAGAATCTTCCACGAGAATCTTCCTCGTGTGACGTCGAGAGTTCGGCGAGCCATTCACTGGCATGACCTTGAACGTTGAAAGCGCTTACCTCGCCTGCGATATACTCGGATGAGTTGGCCGGAAGTGAATTCCTTACAGCCAGCCTGCGTTTCCTCCCCCCCTCTATCAATGTATTTATAGTATATCTAATTTTTGAAATTGATTAGTGATTATCATTCATTTAGAAGATAATAAGGAATGAATTTTTGTTTTGTTTCAGGGATGCCGGTTGATTGAAGATGGCCTCGCCGACACCCTCGCTGGAATCGCGCGCGAATTCCCTCGGGTCCCTGGCCTCGCTGTCCCCGCTAACGGTGAGCGGCAGTTCCCCACCTGCGAGCGACTCTGCGATCTGCGACGTCGACAGTTGCGACCTCTGCTTGGACACACCGAAACCCGGGGAGACCTGTCCCCGTTGCCGTCTTGGAGGCGCCGCCGCCGGTGTTCGTTGTACCGGCTGCAAATCCACCGAATCTGACGCCGTAGCGCGTTGCTTCGATTGCGCCAATTTCCTTTGTCCCAACTGCGTCATGGCGCATCAATTTATGCATTGTTTCGAAGGCCACCGAGTCCACAATCTCGGTGATTCGAAAATAGATGGCGTCAACAACAGCACCGGTAATGCCAATAGTACCGAATTGTCCAAGAACAATTTACTTATGAACGGTGGTGCCAATACTGAAGAAAAGAACTTTATTTGTCCAAGACACAAAGAAACGATGAAATATTTTTGCCGATCGTGTATGGCCTTGGTTTGTAAAGAATGCACGCTCACCGAACATCTCAGTCCGATGCACGATTACGCGCACGTGTCGGAAATCGGTCAACAACAAATAGAATCCATTTCCAGAGCCGTACAAGAATGTCGATCAAAAGTAATCGAGATTAGGGCTGCCATCAAGACTGCCGATCATAGTGCCGCCAAATTGCAAGTTCAATATCACAAAGCGCAAAACGAGATCAACGATACCTTCCAGTTTTATAAATCCATGCTGGAAGAACGTAAACAAGAATTATTGAAAGAACTCGAATCAGTATTCTCATCTAAACAGATCTCAATAAACGTTGTAACGCAAAAGGCTAACGAAACTATCGAAAAAATGACACATACGTGCGAATTTGGCGAACGTTTGATCAAGCTTACAACGATAACGGACATACTTATGGTGAAGAACTTATTAGATTCTAAATTCCAAACGTTTATGAACTATACGCCAGATATTTCCAGTCAAATATCCGACTTGGAATTTGTCAGTAACTATCAAGCTATTCAAGTTGGCGTTAGAAATACGTTCGGTTATGTTCGTAGCAGTAGCGAGAGCAATGCCGGACCGATCGCCAAACAACCACCGATAGCTCGTCCAACCGCTCTTTCTAGCAATGGGATCAATGGAAATAACAGCAACAACGGACCTGGCAACCCCGGATCTTTGGGTGGTTTACTTTTGGATCGGCCCTACAGTAACGGATTGGGATCAAGTTCTACGATTACTTCGTCGACTTCCCCGTCACCGTTCGACAACACCAGCGTTATTACCAAACGTTTCAGTTCGGCCAACAGTCTGGGACCTTTTTCAACGACCATAAGCGATCTCAATTTAAACGGCATGAACGCGAATTCTTACGAAAAGTGGAGCAACGGAGGTACTGATGCTTCCTATCCCGTGGTCACGAGCAACGATCATTTCTCAATGCCAACGTCGGTGAACGTAACCCCTAACGCCGCACCCGGCGAGTCCGTCCTCGACCTAACTTCCAAATTGATGTCTGCCACGATATTCCCTCTAAAGTCGCAAATCAAACGACAGAAAATGATTTACCATTGCAAATTCGGCGAATTCGGAGTGATGGAGGGTCAATTCACCGAGCCATCGGGGGTAGCTGTTAACGCTCAAAACGACATCATCGTAGCCGACACGAACAATCATCGTATACAGATCTTCGACAAGGAGGGTAGATTCAAGTTCCAATTTGGCGAGTGTGGCAAACGGGATGGACAATTGCTCTATCCTAACAGAGTCGCCGTGGTGCGTACCTCAGGGGACATTATCGTTACCGAAAGATCACCGACTCATCAAATACAAATCTACAATCAGTACGGACAATTCGTGAGAAAATTCGGAGCTAACATTTTGCAACATCCACGCGGTGTAACCGTCGATTCTAAGGGACGTATCGTTGTGGTCGAGTGCAAAGTAATGCGCGTCATCATATTCGATCAAGCTGGTAACGTGTTGCAGAAGTTTGGCTGCTCGAAACATCTCGAGTTCCCGAATGGAGTAGTGGTCAATGACAAACAGGAGATCTTCATAAGCGACAATCGCGCTCATTGCGTCAAAGTCTTCAATTACGAGGGATCTTATTTGCGTCAAATCGGCGGCGAGGGTATCACGAACTACCCGATCGGGGTTGGAATCAATGCTGCTGGTGAAATATTGATAGCCGACAATCACAACAATTTCAACTTGACGATATTCACCCAGGACGGGCAACTGGTGTCCGCGCTCGAGAGCAAAGTCAAGCATGCGCAGTGCTTCGACGTTGCCCTAATGGACGACGGTTCGGTCGTTTTAGCGAGCAAGGACTATCGTCTTTACATTTATCGTTACGTTCAAGTACCGCCTATCGTTATATAGACCAGCGAGGCGTCACGACGACGACGATGATCGCCGTGTCGGGACACCACAATCACAATTCATCTATTATTATTTACTCTATTTCTCATAAATGTCCCTCTCATCGTCGCCGTTGTGCTCGCATTATTACTATTGTCCACGAAAAAACTCGATCTTGTCGAACTTTTTCTACCTAAACTCGCTATCGATCTTCTAATACTGCTACTATTACTAATACTTCTTCGTCCATCGTGCGTTATAATCGTCATTGCCATTGCCAACTACTATTACTACTATTACTACTCCCTCTTTCGATTGCTGAACGACAAGAGCAGCAACAGCTGCGATTTGCAAGCTTTTACTTCTTCTTCATCCTCATCTTCATCTTCACCTTCATCTTGTCGGAGTCAAGAGACGACAAAGAGCTGCAATCGCGAGAAAGAAGATACGTCTTCGTGCTCTCTCCTCCTTTTCCTCTTCCTCTTCCTCTTCCTCCTCCTCATTTGCGTGCGTCTACTTATTGGAAGAAGACCTTTTATTAGGCACACGCGCGCACAAACGCGGGGAACGTCACACTTACATACGCACTTTTACACGCGCCCCCTTACTACTACTATTTACTACTATTCCTACTACTACTACTACTACCACTGCTACTAACTACTACTACTACTACTATACCGATACCAATACTTATAATACTGCTATTACTATTGTTACACTTACATACATATGATAAACCTTTAAAAGGTAAATGCATATGCACTTTTAAATACACACATACATACACAAACATACACACTCATATACATTATACGGCACACGTGGCGCGTCGTCGTGCAAACATACACACGCGCGAAACTTACTTGTTAATGTTGTTATAAACTGAAAATACTGTTGTTGTTGTTTAGTTGTAGAGCTCGCCGCCGCTAGTCACTCTCTCCCCTCTTCCCTTGTCTTCTCCTATCATTATCTTTCTCTTTTTCTCTTTCTCTCTCTCTATTCTCTATTCGCTCTCTCTCTTTCTCTCTCTCTCTCTCTCTCTTCTTTTCTCTTTACCATTAATTTTCGCGAAAAAATATTCAAAGAATATCATACACATACACATTACATACCATACACACACGTTACATATCCTTCTTTTCTTCATAGTTGTGTTTGTAGATGATCCTCTTCTAAACTTTTCTTTTCCCCCGATCCCTTAGAAATAAAAAAAAAGAAAAAATAAACTGAAAATAACGATAGGATTTTTTTTCTTTCTAGAAGCCGATTAAAAAATGTTCTTCTCGCGATTCTTAGCTCTAACTCTTCTCGTGTGTGTGTGTGTGTGTGTGTGTGTGTGTTCCATCGATATTAAAACGAGATTTCAAATGTTTGATATTTGATTTGTTTACATTTGATAAATCACAACAAGATTTAAATGAAATTGAATAAGATAAAAAAAAATGATTTCGTGCACGCGCGCTGAAAATTCAATTTATCGTTGGGAATATCTTAAAAATGCGTGAAAAGAAACCAAAAAAAAAATGGAGAAACGATCGTACGAAAATGAAATTTGGTAATTTTTATTTACCGTCTTTCTTCCTCTTGCAATTATTTTTTATTCACCAGACTTTTGAGATAAATTTGTTTATCTTCTTTACGAATGAGATAAAAAAAAGGCCACTGCTAATAAATAGCATACCTTAGAAATATCAATTTTATTTCATAATTAAATCTATGGATCACACCACACACACACACATACACACATAACCCACCACCCCCTTCCCTCGAATTCTCGTGTTACCGTTGCATTGTTTTTTTGTTCGCGACGATAAAAAAAAAAGAATTAAGATTAACAAAAATCTATGAGAAAGAAGTCTCAATTCAATCCCCCGAGTTATTTTTGTTATATTCTAAATAAATTGGAATAACATTTATGTTCCCCTTGCCCCCCCCCCTCCCCTTCACCCCCTTCCCCCTCATTCCCAAATTTATGACGAGGACATCGCTCTTAATTATTATCTTTATTAGTATTATTAGTATTATTATTACTATTATTAATATTATTATTATTATTATTATTATTAATATTATTATTATTATTATTATTATTATTAATCATTAGAATTGTAGAATGTTTGTTTTTCCTTACTTTATTCCTTAATATCATTTTAATGATTGTTTGTTTTATTTTATACGATTTACTTGCAAAGAAAAGAAAGTGTACCTTCCTACCTATCTTACCTACCTTTCTTCTTATGTTCCTTTTCCTACTTTGTTTTTTTGTTTTTTTTTTTTTTTTATATATATATTCTGTTTGATATTTTTTCTTTCAAACGATCGGTATCTCTCTCTCGTTTCCGTCAAAAATGATTACCGTGAAAAATCTTTACGGGGAATTATCAATGACGATACTCGAAAGAAAGGAGAGATACGAAACTTTAACTAATTGACCAAAAAAAAAAAAGAAAGAAAGAAAGAAAGAGAAGGAAATAGATGGAATAATAGAAGAATAGAAAGAAAGAAAGAAAGAGAACAAAATAATATAACCCACATATTAAGTGGATGTAAAATTGATTAGATTGATTGGCAATAAAATGATAGTGGATTTTATCTTTAGGTAACTTTTTAAAATCACCAATGACTTAATTGCCAATCTAATAATATTTGAATGTTCGAGCCATTACTACTAATTTCCAACCCACCAATTGTTTCTTGTTTTAACTTAGACGTTAAGTTATCGATTTCATTTCTTATTGACATCCGAATGATGGGAAAAAATTAATGATTTTAACGAAAGACCAATGACGAATTTTATATATTTGATTGAAAAAGAAAAATCAATTCTGATTAGAGATGGCTCGAACAAATAATTTGATGATGAGTCTCCTTAACACGTTGAGCGTCACGCAAATTCTTCGATAAATTTCCGTCAGACTACAGGAATTACTTCGTATTGAAAAAAAAAATAGTTGAACGTGTCAGTCACCCATGACGGACGTGGCCTAAACTGATAGTCTAATGTCAGTTACCGATGACTGACATGGCGTTCAACGTGTTAACAAGATAGAAAGAGATCAAACGAGAGAGAAAGAAGATATATTCCTACCCTCCAAAGAAAATAGATACAAAAAAAAAAAAATAAAAGAAGTAACATTAATGAAAGGAGGACGAATGATGATCGTTAAGAAGAATTCTTTCTTTTTTTTTTCCTCCCCATTGGATAATCCTCTTACCAACCCACTCACTGACACACTCACTCACTCACTCATTCATTCACTCACTTATTCGCATATATGAAAATACTAGCATACACACATTTACACAATTACGTTCTGGAATTTTGTAGTGGTGTTAAAAGTAGCTATAGTTATTAACATAGTTAGTGAGAGTTTTGTAGTATGCGTGTACACCTCCTTTCCACCCCCCTTTGGTTTTTTTTTTTATTATCTCTTTTCTCTCTTTCTACTAATTTTCTATGTGTTCTTTTTTTCCTACAAAATGTCTCTCTGTCTCTCTCTCTCTCTATCTCTCTCTCTTTCTCTATTTTTTAATTATTCCATTATAATAATACACTTTTTTTCACAGCATTTACTTTCATCGATCATTTTTCAATGTCCCCGGTTTATTATTTTTCTATTTTTATGTTATTTTATTTTTTGTGTCTTTTTCAATATTATAACTGGTTAAAAAAAAAAAAAAAGAAAAAGAAAAATGAAAAACATCGAAGTTTTTCCTTTTAGTGTTCTCTATGTGCGATCGTATAGTATTAATATATTTTGTTGGATGAGGTTGGTAAATGGTGGATTGTTTCCTTAAAAGAAAGAAAAAAAAAAAACAAAAACAAAAAAAAAAGAAAAAATAATAGAAGCCACCACTACCACCGTAAAATTTGATGATTCTCGTGCATGTTTTTTGCTATTAATTTTTATTATTATTATTATTATTATTATTATTATTATTATTATTATTATTATTATTATTATCTTATTATTATATGTGTATAAGTGTGTATGTTGATAATAGCATGTATGATGAGTGTGCATAACGCAAGTATTAATTCATTCGATTTATGAATTTAAATTACCACCCCTTTGATCTTTGCGCACCCCATTTTTATTTTCATTTTGTTTTTATTTTTTTTCTTCTTCTTTTTTATATTTTACTTGCATCGTCTGATGAGAAAAAAAAACAAAAAAAACAAACCAACAAACAAACAAACTCCCGCAAAAGGTGAGGTGATTAGTCTTAATTTTCTTTTTTTCCCCTAATCGTCCCTTTTTGAATAATTGATAAGAGAAATGATAAGAAAAATTTGAAATGTTTGATGAATGATTTAAGAAGAAAAAGCAAAAAAAAAGAAAAAAGTGGAACAATGCTAGCTGGCTTGCGTGAATCCCATTCCTGCCCTATTTTTTTTTTTTTTCTTTCAACGTTGTCTAAGAAAATCATACGTCGTTTGAACAAAAAAAAAAAAAAAAAAAAAAAAAAAAAAAAAAAAATATGCAAAATCAATTTTGAAATTAATCCGAAAATTACGGAAAAGTCCTTTGTCGTCTGTCCGAAATTTTTGGACCGCTTGATAAAATAAAATATTTTTGTTATGTTTGAAATAAAATAAAATAAAAATAAAAAGTTTGGATCCAAAAAATTTCAATATACTGAAAAGTAATATTAAAATTCTATATTGTTCGTTTATAAAAGAAACGAACTATTTCCTAGGATTTTTACATAGTATAAACCATATAAATACCATGTAAAATCGTTGTTGCTATGATGTTTAGGATAAATGTTTTTCCTTTCTTACATTTTTTTTTTCTTTTTCGTTTTTTTCTTTTATTGTTTCAATATTATTTAGAATATTAACACTATGGCGTCCGGTACCATGCAAAAAACTATCTGTTGTATGCCGGTGATACCACTTTGGTGCCATTTAAAACAAACCCAAAAAAAAATAACATTTGAATTATTATATTTCGTGGAGGTGTTTAGGGGAAACATAATAATTGTAAAATTGTGCTTATTTAACCAAGAATTAAGTAAGAACAATTTTGGGATAACACGGATTTAATTAATGCAATAAATATTGTCGCCATTTTGTAAATTTGTTCAAAATTCCAAATTTCCAAGCTAATTATGGAAACGATAAGAACAAAAGAAACATATCTAAGATCTAAGGACGACATAGTGTTAAAAAAAAAAAAAAAAAACAAAAAAAAACTGTCCTATTTAAAGTAAAATTAAGAAATGAAAAAAAAATTAATTTGAAAAAGGAAATTTATTTAAAACTTCGTGATCAACATTTAATTTATTTCTTTTCAAATGAAAAAATGATTTGTAAAAAATCATTAAAGTGATAAGCGAATGTATTTTGAATGAAATAAAGGAAGATCGAACTCGTTCTAAAAATACTTTGAATGATAAAATTGAATAATTTTATCCTTCAAATTTATTTTGAAAAAGTAATTAAAACGATTTCGAATTTCTTTTTTTTTCTACAACTAAAATAATGTTTCCTGCCAGTTGTTTTGTGTTAGATGCACAAACACACGAAAACATATTACAAATGCACAATTTTCTCTATCACTTTTTTGATTATTTCTAATCAAAATCAATGATTTAATTATTCAAATCTTGTCTTTTTGTTTGTAACAATATTTTAAATATTTGAACTTACGTGAACAAAATGGGATCATAAAAAAAGCCTCACCACAATCATAAAAATCATCTTATTTGTTTCAATTCGTTTAATGATTTTGTTACATTGTATTTCCTCGAATATAGATCTGTTTTGTTAATGATAAAGTAAATAGATAAATAGAGAGATCGAAAAAGATAATTGATAAACGTGATGTACGATTTTCATCATTTCTTTTTTTTTTTTCATTTACGAGCTGAAAAGTCCAATTATGATTCTTTTCTCATAAACGATAAGGATGACAAAAGTCGATTAATAAAAAAAAAAAAAAACTCGTTTCACAGTGTATTAAAATATGTATTTGTTCATTAGTATTTATATCGCGTTA